GGTCTGTGGAGTCTGTAGGGTCTGTGGAGTCTGTAGGGTCTGTGGAGTCTGTAGGGTCTGTAGGATCTGTAGGGTCTGTGGAGTCTGTGGGATCTGTAGGGTCTCCGGAGTCTGTAATATCTCTGGAGTCTGGTCTCCGGAGTCTGTAGGGTCTGCAGAGTCTGTGGAGCCTGTAGGGTCTGTGGAGTCTGTAGGGTCTGTGTGTTCTGTATATTCTGTGGGGTCTGTGGAGTCTATGGAGTCTGTGGAGTCTGTGGAGTCTGTAGGGTCTGTGGAGTCTATAGAGTCTGTGGGGTCTGTAGGGTCTGTAGGATCTGTAGGGTCTGTGGAGTCTGTAGGGTCTGTGGAGTCTATAGAGTCTGTGGGGTCTGTAGGGTCTGTAGGATCTGTAGGGTCTGTGGAGTCTGTAGGGTCTGTATGTTGTGGAAACTACTGGGTCATCATAAATGACATCATCTGTCATGAGAGCTCCAGTCTCACAGAAAGTGCTTGAGATAAGGACCAAGCAAAGATATTATTATGAAAATAGAACCCTGACTCCGTGGACCACCGGACTCTGTGGACCTCCTGGTTCTGTGGACCCAATCTAATCAGGCAGGACCAGTCCATCCTGACCTCAGCTGATGTGTATGTGGCTCTGATAAGAGGCGTTCCTCAGTCCGACGGACATGAGCTCAGGCATCAGGAATCTGTTAGAGTTACATCAGTGCACAGCAACAACAAGCCGTGTGCTGCAGGAAATCACACACACACAGACACACACACAGACACACACACACACACACACACACACACACACCTGGAGGAGGTAACCTGTTTTAGGCAGCGAGCCCTGACTTCATGTTACAGTGAGTGTGGGAGGTAAAAACACTGAGGTAATAACTTGACATGAAGGCTTGTCTTTGTTTGCGTGTTGTYTAAAGCTGTGCCTGCTCTTGTTCAAACGCTGCCACTCATCCCAGATCCTGTTTGTTTGTTCAAGCGTTTCGCCCGAGCTGTGGGTCCTCAGAACTAATAATCATTTTCAGTTTTAATAATTATCTGTGTGGCTTTCTGGCAGGGCTGCAGGGAACGTTGAGTCGGCAGCAGAGGTTCTGATGAGACATGAAATGGCACACAATGACTGCCGAGTACAACAGATGCTTTGTTTGTGTTCTCCCCATGCTCCACAAAGGTGCAGGGATTCTATTCATGGCTGTAATCTGAGATAAAAAGACTTTACAGGGTGGGTAACTTCAGATAGTATCTCTGCTCCTGCATCATCTGAGCCACTGGAGTTAATCAGTCTGTGTGTGGCACACTCACCCACCCTGATTCGGATCCAAATTAATTTAGATCGGAGTGATCTCCGTGTGCCAACACCCAGCRGAGACCCCACACTCTGCAGCGCCGGGATCTGTGCGGCAGCTCCGTCACTGTCAGGAGCTTAGAGCCTTTAATGTGCCGTGCCTGAAGGGCGACAAGAATGTGTCTGTGACGGCGAGAGGAGTAAACACGTTCGTCACCCAGAGAAACCAGGGGTTGGTTGTTTTTGTTCCCGGCTCTTTCCTAACTGTCGGGTTTTATCTCCCTGGCAGCTGGCGCCGAGTGCCTGTTTTGCCTCTCGCTGTCAGAGAAGCTGTTTAAACTTGAGATCTTTCAGCGTTACCTATAGAGCTGCTGTTTACATAGTTTCCAGCTCAGCCTCTCAGTCCAATGCAAACGTGTCTGTTTTGCATAGTTTGAAGGAGCTCTTCAGGACCGGCGTTCTTGACCTGCATGGTTTACGTTAGGACCCTGTTGAGTAGAAAACTTTTCTTTCCTGCTGAAARCTCARCAGACTCTACAAGTTAAAAAAAAATCATCTGATAAGTGGAATAAAAACATTAAAAAGGGCCTGATGAGATGCAGAACTAAAAGTTCTGCCTGAAACAGCAACATCCTTCTTCTGTAAGGTCCAACAGGAAGTCAGGGAATAATTACATTCCTTCAAACAGAGCTGTAAAGTAACTAAGTACAAATACTTTCTTACTTCTGGTTATCTATTTACTTAATTATTTTCAGCCTATTTTTTACTTCTACTGCTTACATGTTTAAAAAAGTTAAGAAGAAAGTTGTTACTCCTGTTTGTTAGTGTTAAAATTACTATCCAGATAAAGTGCACCTCCTGGATCGAGTGAATTGAATTGTAGTTGGATGAAATATAAATATATATTCTGACACAGTATTAGTTTATTATTAGTTTATTATTATTTAACTTGCTAGCTAAATATTTAAGTTGCAAGCTAAATATTTAAGCTAAATATTTAAGCTAAATATTTAAATTGTGACTTAAATATTTAGCAAGCTACCTAAATATTTAGCTTAAATATTTAGATAGTTACTTAAAATTTTGGCTTAAATATTTAGCTTGCAACTTAAATATTTAGCTAGCAAGTTAAATATTTAGCTAGCAAGTTAAATATTTGGCTATCTACCTAAATATTTAACTTGCTAGCTAAATATTTAAGTTAAATATTTAGGTAGCTAGCTAAATATTTGTTTCAAGCTA